AGGGGAACAGCGGACAGAAATCAAGTGGAATGTTTCCTGAGGCAGCGTAGAGAGAACAAAGTATGAAAAAGGACAAGAAGTTCCGCTGCTGGAAAAACAGATGGAGATTCCTGACCAAGAAGCCACGCTTTTAGGAAAGTGGGCTGTGCTGTTTTATTTTTGAGATGAGCTGGAATGACACGCACTTCCCAGAGCACATTCTGCATACCAACCTCTCCCCTGGTTTATTTTTTCTACGCCCATTTGCCCTTTGCCCCACTTTCCTGAGTTCTGTTTTTTTTTTTTTATTACTGAACTGCCTATTTTCATAAGACATTGGAAATATTGACTGATACAATGTGAAGGGGAGGTCAAAATGCCGTATTTCAATGCATTGGTGATAACTTTCCAGGTTTGCTGTGATGTCATTTTAGGTCAGTGTGTTGGATATACCTCAAATCCAATTCCCAAACTGAATATAAATCAAGATCTAAATGGCTCCCCTAGGGCGTATCTGTGTGCATAGGTATACAGCTCCGAGGAGACTCGGAGTGCACACTTCCACGGCAGTTCCAGGTGTGCTCTGCCCACCTGTGGTAGCCTGGTTAGCAAATTGCAAAGCCAAACTCAGAGAGCAGTCCTAGTGCTTGGTTGCTTGGTCAGATGGCCTCTTCTCGCCTGGCCTCACAACACTGTGTGCATCCATAGCCATCTGTCCTGGTCAAAGCAAGAAAGAACTGATCAGCGGTGGAAGAAATGGAACTAGGTGGTCTGGTTGTCACAATTTGATACTTAATATCTGCCACAGCTTCTTAAGAATTGTCCCAAGATAAAGGCATTTCCTCGTGGCTGCAGCACGGAGCCCAGAGAACTCCAGATGCTTACATCACAGAGCCTGGCGTGGTTGTCACCTTTGTTTTTAAAGTGCGTTGGGGACTGTGAGTCACACTGTCTCAGGTCCAAGCCTGGCTCTCGTGTTGACTCGCCGTGTGGCCGTGGGCGGGCAGGCCACATAGCCTCTCCAGCCTCGCTTTCTCTTTTGAAGAGCGAGGGTAACGATACGTCCCTGATAAGATAACGTGCAGATACACCTGTTTCTGCCCCTACTTCAGTGGCGGCTCATGAAAAGGGCTCAATGAAAGGGGCCATTATTGTGCATAGATGACTGGAACCAATAAAATGTAGCTCGATTCATAAAAGCAGATCTAGGAGCTGCTCGAAATTGCTCCTAGTCACGGCCCAAACATGACATCACGTCTCCCTATCATCCGGCTTTTCTTCTGTGCCAGATTAAACCCAGCAGCGCAACTGGTAAAAATGGTTTTCTAAAAAGATTGGAAATCTATTTCCACAGTGAACTATAAAATGAGAATGTCTATAGACAACTAACTGCTTTGACTGGTGAGGATATTTTCAACCGAAGCTCTCACGAGAACATCTGAAAGAATCTTGCCAAGTCCTGGACACGATGTTCAGCTCCTTCCAAGAGCTGATGAGTACGGAGCAGTCGAGGGCCTTGTTATAAATAGCAGGTTGGTGCCCTTGACCAGATTACACGCCTGAATAGGTAACCGCATGCCAGATGGAGACAACTGTGAAAAGCATTTTAACTAAGCGACATTTCAGCATTGCTGGTAAGCCTGATCCTTTCCAGCACCGGCGCATTCTTATTTATCCTAATGGAGTCACTGAAATCAATGGGAGGTTAAAAAGGATTTCACAAAATGAGACGTCAGGTCAACGCATGGACACCAAGCACGTGAACACAGCCTGAGCCCGCCTCCCGATGCTGTCTGCCTCCCCCCAGGTGGTCCGCGGCTGCCTCCTCTGCCTTCCTCTCCTGCTTGGCCTGAGTCAGATCCTGCGCTACTCCTGTTGTGGAGGAAGAGTATTCTATTAGAGTCCTCTTTGATTTTTTTCACCAGCATTTTGTAATTTTGGGCATATAGATGCTATATGTGTTTTCCTGAGTGTATACCTACTTAGTTCATTTTCTTTGGAGTAAATTGTAAATGCTAATATGGCTAAAAGTTTTAAGAAACTGAGTTAATAATAATAAAGCACACAGATCTTAAGTATGTTGATCAGTGGGTTTTGGCAATCATGTACACTGGTGTAAGCGCTAACCAAGGCCGCCCGTCACCGGTTGCCGACACCCTCAGGCCCCCGAGAAGTGCCCGCATTAGAGCTCTGCCCCTAGTGGTGTGCACAGCGGTAGGTCTTACCCCAGAGGCTGGAGCACCAACCAGCCGGTGGGTGTCTCATCCCCCACCAGAGGCCCAAGCATGAGGTGGCACCTCCTTCAGAGATGTGGGGACCTCTCCTCGGAGCTCCTCAGTCAGGGTAACCCTACCTTGTCCTGGGGTGGTAGCTGCTTCCTGAATTATTAGTATCTGGTACCTCAAAGTCCCGTCTTGTTACTTCGGCTTTCTTGTGTTAACTCACCTGTTACTGTGCCCTGACGTATTTGGTACCAAGAGATGGGTTTGTCTACCACCCTCTGCACAAAGGTCTTACTGGAACATCAAAGGTGTGTACTGCTTTCTGGTCACCAGGCCCAGTCACCAACCAAGGCGATGTTCTGCAGGGCACCTACAATCCAGGTCTCTGCAAGCTGGATTGTGGCAAGAGCAGAAAATTCGACACAGCCCAGATATGCGGATTTTTCTTTTGTAAAATTTAATCCTTATTGGGTTTAAAAAAATTTAATCTTTGTGTATTTTTCCCATTACCATTTAGTCCCCTTATATCCCCTGCCCCCAGCAATCACGTTATACATGTCCATGAGTCCTTTTTGCTTTTTGCCCAATCCCTCACCCCCTAACCTCGCCCCGCCCACTAGCTGTCATCCAGCTTTCCATCTCCGAGTCTGTCCCCATCGTCCTCGTTAGTTGTTTGTTCATTAGAGTCCACATATGAGTGAGATTATATGGTGCCTGTTTTTCAAAAGCCGATGAGAGAAAGCTGGAACCTCTCCAGGTGAGGGTCTTGGTATTTTTTTCACATGACCTTTTTCATGCTGATTTCTCAACAGCTGACTTTTCCTCCCGAGTTATTCCATTTAAACTTTGTAAAAGTTAGTATCAATCCACTTCAATCAACAACCAACCAGAATGAGATCTGAAATTTTTTAACAAATGCCATTGTCTAGCATCTGCATAATTGAAATAAGAAATCTATGTAGCCGTTTTATAATTTTTTTGAAAACTTACTTAGAGAGGGAGAAACATTGATTTATTGTTCCACTTACTGATGCATTTACTGATTATTTCTCATTATGTGTCCTGACCAGGGACTGGACCCACAACCTTGGGGTACCTTCCTAAGGAACCGAGCCACTGGGCCAGGGTCAGTAACTGTTAATTCTCCACTAGATGGCAATCGTTACACAAACCCCTTAGCCTCTCCTCACACCCAGTCCACAAATGGATTCAAGAGGGACAAGCGGGGACAGAACTCTGGAGGCTGCGGCCTCCCGCCTCACAGGTGTGCTCACAGCACAAAGGTGTCCCTCTCCTGCAGCCGCGAGGGACCATCAGGCGTGTGTACTGAAGCTTCTTACAGGACGCAGAAGTGGGACAGAGCAATTTGTTTCTTTGTGTTGTTCAGCTTGTATTTTTGAAAAGTCAAACTTTGTTTTTAAATTCTTGGGAATTGGGTTGAATGGAGTCAGGCCGCTTTCCTTACTGAGCAAATGCTTATTGAACACCATGGAAATAGGGGGGACACAGACTTGTGAAACGGGGTCCCCATGCTCCAAGGGCATGGACACCTATGGGGAACCCCCCACAAGTGGAGGCTGCCAAATGCCCAGTATGGATTGTACTGGTGGCGAAGTGAAAGGGGGGATCGAGCCGGCTCCAGCATGTGGATGTGGCTGTAGAAGCAGAGAAGAGGAAGACAGTTCAGGCAGGGGAGGACAGCAAAGGCACGGGGGGAGGAAATCGCGATGGGTTTCAGGCCCAGCTACCCAACCAGTGTGGTCTGGGTTGAGGGCTGGCATGGTGGGTAACAAGATGGGAAGGCTGAGCTGGGCTGGGCTGGGCCGGAGGCCTTCTGGATCTAGAGTGTGGGCACCCACCTGAACTATGGGACCACCCCAGGTTTGTGAACAGGGTTAAGGGGCAAGAAAGGCCGGTGCACATGCAGAGATGGGCAGGCGTCAGGGGGGGGGGGGAAGGGCCGGGAGCTGGTCCTGGGGCTGCCGAGCAGCTGCACGAAGAAATCAGCAGACACAAGCAGATGGAGTGACAGGAACACCCCTTTATGTAACACATCTACGGTTACAGAAAACTTGTTTACATCATCTCATTTTACCTCGGACTGGCCTGTCCCGGAGGACCCTTGTCACGTCTCACAAGTAAGGAGCCGCTGCTCAGAAGCAATGCCATCACCTCGGGCCACATCTCCTCTGCCGGTTTTGGGGGGACTGCCTTCTTTACCCCATTACTCCTCCTCAGGAGGGGCTTCTGCTTCCTTCTTTCCCCTTCAATGCAGATGCCCAAGGGCCTTTCCTCCTGTCCTGCTGTGCCCTTTAGGTGCCCTCGCCCGCTCAGGCTTTGGCTGTCACACACACACTGACACCTTCTCGCCCCACTTCGCGGACCCCGGGCTCTCTCTCTCTCTCTCTCTCTCTCTCTCTCTCTCTCTCTCTCTCTCTCTCACACACACACACACACACACACACACACACACACACACACCCCCCCCCTCTCCTGCCCATGGCCCAGGCTGCAGAGCTGGCAAGAACTGCTCAGAGGGAGGGCGTGTGCCCCAGAGGGACAGAACTGGCGAGCCGCTGGGGTGCAGAGGTATGCGAATCCTAAACACTAAGCACTATTTTTCAATATTTTGATTTTTGATTCCTATTTTAACTTTATCCATGGTTTAATTTCGAGTTGCTTCAAATTTTTCTTTGAAGGTGAGACGTTTAACACATAAACCTGGATGATGCTCACAAGAATCCTATGTGGCAGACAAGCCAAGTACCACTAGTGCAATTTTACAACTCACTCACTCACTGGTTTGTCCAATCATTTATTGAGCACTGTCTACGTGCCAGGCGTGGTGCAAGGCTCTGGGCACAACAACGATTAAGACGACGTCCCTCAAGGAGCTCACAGTCTAACGGCACACTGCGGAGTGAACTGAGGCACAGAGCGGTATGGGGCGGGCCCAGTGAGGTAGAACAGCCAGGTGCTGGGGGACGGGGCACTGGAGCTGGAGAGGACAGGGTACAACCGACTGAACAGCGAGGCTGCGCACAGAGACGTACCCCGGAATCTGCGGGTGAACAGGTTAAGTGGTTTCCGACTGTCACTGTAACTGAGTGCGCATCTACCCGCAGTGAAGCCGCGACCTGATGGCACTGCCACACTTGTCCCTGAAGGCTCAGGCCGTGCCACCGGTCTGCTCAGACACAGTAACTGTAAGGAGCTTGAAATCCAATTCTAGCACTGGGAATCTTACTGAAATTCTTTAATTAAACGCATGAACTTAACATGTATAGCATATTTATGATACTTCTACATGGAGAAGTTTGAAAAAACTCTTCTCTAACCCCCATTCCGAGGATTCTAATAAGTTACAGACACCACAGAAATGAGAGCACTTGTCTATGTGTTCCATATATACACCCTGTGGCTACACCGTGGTGAAAAGGTTCAGTTAGATGCACGTGTATACAAAGACATCACACTCAGATGTGTGTGCACACCCTGCCAACGACCGGCAGCTAACTGCAGACCTGAACTCGGGCGGGACGGCCGCTTTGGTGATGGCGACGCGTGACCTTTGAAGGAAGGGCAGGGCCCTCGAAGGACTGTCCCTCCTGGGCCTGCCATCTGTGTAGTGATCCGTAGGATGAAATTACTTCAGCAGGCAGAACATCTGTCTCACTGACGAAAAGCAGTGAATTATAACGAGTTTTTTCGGATGCAGAAACCACAGTAATCCGTAGTAATCTAAGTAGTGAACTACTCCAAGACACCACTGGCCTTAATGCTGCTACTGACGAAGAGTGAGGCAACCTCACGCGGGCATGCTGCTCTGAGAATCAAACCAGACGCCTGGTCGTCCATGGGACGCACCAGAACGCGGTGCACGCCTTCTCAGATCCCACGATCAGCTGCTCACTTCAAGCAGTTCTTCACTTGGCTGTGGAGGAGTTTCTTCTGGAAAGTAATGAAAAGGAAAGCTCTTGTAAGTGAGGCTGTAAAAGGCAATCAGGTAACAGGACATACATTTCAACTGCTTTAAAAAAACAGAAGAGCCCTGTTCAAAAACCATATCCTTATGATAGTGGCGTAAGGCCAATGTTTTAAGTCACAAGAGAGCAAACAGGACGCCAACACGCACCCGAGGCTGCAGTGTCCAGGAGGCCAACAGCCTTCTCTACAGAGCCCGCCCCCAGCACCGACGGGTCCGACTGCGACTCCAAGTTTTCAGTCTTATCAAAACAGCTCAGGGGTTCACTGTAAGGTGGTTAGACACATTCCAAACTTTGTTGAGAATTACCTTGTAATTTTTAGAGTTGTGTTTTTGTAAAACTATCTTAAGACCACAATGAGCAATTTTTAGAACGATTCTCATTCCCAAGTATGTTGTCCCATTTGGTGGGTTTCCTTTTTATTTTGTTACTATTTAGCTTTGCAAAAATTTTTGGTTTGCTGTGGTCTATTTGTTTAGTTTTTCTTTTGTTTCCCTTGCCTGAGGAGATATATCAGAACAAATATTGCTACCAGAAATGTCCTAGATTTTGTGCCTATATTTTCTCCTAGGATTTTTATGGTCTGAGTCTAACACTCAAGTCTTCAATCCACTTTGAGCTTGTTCTCGGGTATGGTGCACGCAGGTGGTCTAGTTCAGTCCTGTCTTTGTACATTACCTGTCCAGTTTCCCCGATACCATGTACTGGACGGACTGTTTCCACCCCACAGTGCGTGCTTGCCTCCTCTGCCAGACACTGACTGACGTGAAGACATGGGTTATGTCGGGACCCTGACCTGTCCCACTCATCTGCGTGTCTGTTTTATGCCTGCATCGGGCTCTTTCCCTCGTGATGGCCTTGTCGTAGTCGGGTCTCAGGCAGCGTGATTCCTGCAACTCTGCTGTTCTTTCTCAAGACTGCCGTGGCTACTGGGGCCTTTCGTGGTTCCCTATACATTTTTGGAATATTTGTTTTCTGTGAACTATGCCATTGGCATCTTGATAGGAACTGTGCTGATTCTACAGATTTTTGGGGGTGGTTTGGACATTTTAATGATGTTAAGCATTCCTATCCATAAAACAGGGTACACGCTTCTACTGACTTGCATCTAATTTCTTTCCTCAGAAACCTACACAATTTTATTAACAAATGTCGCCCCAATACTTTTTAAGAACCATTATATAATTAAGAATCACTAGAATCTCTCATTTCCCCAGATCACAAAACCGGTGTGCTCACCTTTAGCAGGGTTTCCTGGGCGTCCGCTTTTCGACGCCGAGCTGCCCGCGCCTTCGGGCCCCCTGCTGCGGGAGCGGCGCTGCTCCACCTCACACAGGTAGACGTCGATGGGCCCGTTGGTGCTCCGTATGTGCACCGTGATGGAGTCCTAGCAAAAGACACGTCAACATCGGCATGAGGAGAGAATGCACTAAGTATGCACACAGTTTTCACTTATTAGAACCACAGACGTTTCAAGGGGCATTTCTGAAAGTTTAAATTCAGTTTCCTTTCTATCGTATATTTGAGAAAATCGTGTACTTTAGTCACGTTAAACCCACTGACCAATCTGTGCTGCTAACATCAGCTACCCGGCCCCTGTGCAATGGCCCCAGAGCCATGGCGTGAGCACCTGAGCGCTTCAGAGCCGTCTTTGGAGTTGACTGGCCCCGTCAAGGCACGAGGCACCTGTACGTGAGCGTCAGCATCAGTGTGTTAATGACAAGGACACAGAAATGCCCTGCAGTCTCAAATGATAAGGCTGCGTTTAGAGCTCCAGACCACTGAGAAGCCAATGGGAAGGAGGATTCTTAGTCCACCTGGGAAGGAGGGTGACATCAAGACACATAACACCTCATGTAATTTAAAACGCCAAAATCCACGGGTAACAGGAAGTTGGGAACTTCTACTGAGAGCTGTGCTAAAGTCTTAAGGAACAGTTCCGGTTGCAAGTGATTCCTTTGTCAGAAGTTCTGCTTGGCAGCGGGCCTGACTGGAGGTCCGTTTCCCCCGCTGTGGTGCGGGTGACCCCGGAAGCTCAGGGAGACGCAGCACTGTGGTCACAAAACCTCGTGGGCGCCCTCTCTGCAGCTCCCCAGTACCAGACAGTGGGCTCAGCCACCAGGTGCCAGGCTGGGTACACCGTGCGACTTGACAGGTACTTCTCAGCCACAGAGGAAACCGACACAATGCTCGGACTGGCAGCCAGCTGAGGATGTCACACCCGACAAAACCGCGCTTGGCAAACACCTTCTGTCTGCAAGAGGGGGACAGGAAACACTTTTGGCTTCGGGGGCTATCCCATCTGTCACGGCCACACAACTCTGCCGGCAGACAGGAGGAGCCAGAGCTACGCCAGTGGGCACAGAGCATGTCCCAACAGAACCGTTCGCGGAAAACGGGCAGGCTGTACGAGGCACCTGGATCTCACCTGGGCAGGGCTGCCCAAGGGGCCCAGGGGCACTGGCGTTTAAACGCGACTCTGAAAAGTCAGGCACCACCAAAAGGCTCAGCGAGGTTTGGCAATCACAGTCTGAAGCAGCTAGCAGCACAGGGAAAGCCCAAAAGCCCGCCAGTCACTACAGAATAGGCTATCACACCCCAGAGTGAGGATGCATTAAAACACTGGCAGTTAATCAAAAGGAGAGGAGGTGGGTTAAATACCTGTGAAATGATTCAAATACAAATGTTACTCAGGATACTTGGAATATCCCAATCCAAACCAACTAGGAAACATCCCCAAGAAGTTGCGACCTGCATGTATGATGGAGTAAGAGCAGGCTGCTCCTTCATCAGCTTATGAGACACCACCCAGTGGGACAGGGGATCTCCCCTGGACAGTGGTCTACTGGGGACAAAGGCAAGGTGAGTGGCAAAGACACTCCCTACACCAAGGAAAACCCCCACAGCAACGACGACATCACCGTGAAGGCCCATGGGCTGTCGGAACTGCTGGTCTGTCACCAGAATGGCCACATCCCTTGGACTCACCCTCGCCAAGCAACCCTCTGATGACAGTTATCTTTTAACACAGACACTCCTTCAAGGGAAGGAGTATGTTAAGAAGCTGGCAGCTTAGTAATAATATTTTCATTTCCACAGCTTTACTTTTCATTTTTAACGTATAACTTATGCTCTAGTGTATTTGCCAGTCCTAGCCAAGTCAGGTCAGTGAGTTCACTCCCTAGAACCCCATGTGACACCAGGCCTTCCTTCGGGAACTTGGAGACCGAGGCCCACTCCTGGGGATTCCCCTGCGAGGCGTCGTTCACGGGTCAAGTGTCCCGTGAACTCTGAAGCCAAGCTATCCGGGGTTGAATTCTGGTTCTGCTTCTCCTCTGTGTGCATGAGGAGGTGGATCCGTCTTTCTAAGCTTCAGGCCCTCACCTTTACCAGGGTGGCAGCACGACCACGTCACTCGCTGTCACTGAAAGCCAGGGGAAGTGTGCCCGGAGCCTCGAGCTGCAGCCGCCGTGCGGCCAGGTGGGCACGCGAGGGGTGCGCACTCACTGAGACTGCGACAACCTGCGGCCTCTGCAGGGGCCCCGCCCTCTTTAAATCAGGACTACCTACTTCTCTGGGCGCTGGAACGTCCAGTCTGGTTTCTGCTGGGGCTTTAACTGCAATAACGATCTGCTCGTGGAAGGCTTGAATGCTGTGGATATCTTGGTACGTCACATACGCTAGTGTAGAGACCAGTCAAGGATCTCTAAGCAGAGGTCTGCTTTTTGGGGGAGACGACTTAGCTCTTATAATACAGGAATGCAATAGTAACATTAGAGTATCTTTAGATTTTATGGAATACAAACAATTGAAGAGGACAGTCAATTAAAACATTTTCACACATAATTCTTATTACTTTATGAACAATTCTTAAGATTTTAGTGTTTTACAATATTTATAACTCAATTTAAACACTTCTGCTCTGGCTGGTGTGGCTCCATAGACTGTGTGCTGGCCTGTGAACCCAAGGGTCACAGGTTTGATTCCCAATCAGGGCACATGCCTGGGTTGCAGGCTAGGTCCCCAGTAGGTAGCATGTGTGAAAGGCAACCACACATTGATGTTTCTCTCCTTCTCTTTCTCTTTCCTTTCCCCTCTCTCTAAATAAGTAAAATCTTAAAAAAAAAAAACAACAACAAGGCTCCTTTACACTGTGCTACTGTGATTTGGATGATACTTTCTAAAGAAAAATATTGATAAGCTCCGAATTTCTAACACAACACGACTCATAAGGTATCAAATCCACCCCCCCACCCCATTCCCTGTTGACTTCTAGGTCTCACTATGAGAACCTCTGGGGAAAAATATTATTTTGGTGAGAACCCCCTAAAATGCAAGGTAGAGAAAAATCTGTAGAAACGACATAGAGAATAAGCTTTTCAGGATTAGCACTGACTCCTGGGACTTCTCTCATCCAAACTCCTGCCCAACTCACTACCTGAATTTTTGCACCTGTTCACTGTGTCGCCTAAAACCGCATCGATGAAGTGTCTTGCTGGGCTGCTCTGAAACGCTGGATTCAGAGCATCTGCTGGGCTCTGGTTCTCTGACTCCTTTACCATCACACCTGACTTTTAACACGTTTCTTTCCTTTGCCTACAACCCATCAAGTAGCTTAACTCCCTCAATAAAATAAGTGACTTTAACCATAATCGTTCCATTCTGATCAAGTGTTGTGTGTTAGCATTTACTTCCCCTTCAATAGCTACTGGAATCAGAGTTCAGGCTGATGTGAGTCCATGTAAATCGGAAGCCCGGACAGCTCGGAATCGGCGACCCCCAGCCCAGGGGAGTCTGAGGATCAGCTGCAGTGACAGGGCCCTGCTCTGACCCCGCAGCCACCGGGCTGGAGCAGCACTGCCTCGAACTGCCTCGCGGTTTGTGGGCTTGAGCTGCAGTGTAAAGGCCGTTTCAATGGCCATTCACTCTGTTCCAGAAACAAAATTTAATCAACGAATTTGGGAAGATACAAATTTCACAGGAGTCAACAACTATTTTACCGCTTTTATCATAGCAGCCAGACTACGAAAACAAGCAAGAGGGCCCCACTCGTCTGCCTGGAGACGCGACATCAGCCCTGACAGTTACTGCCCCCCCCGCCCCCCGGGCACGGTGCAACCTCTGACTGGATGGTTGGTTGCTGTGCCAAGAACTAGAGGCTGCGCTGAGTTACTGCACTGTGTCGTTTGGGTAGGTGTGCAGGTGTCTGACTAAACCTTTACTTACTCTCACTTCTAAAGGTCTGACTCTGTTCCTCAGATACTAACTCTACTATTTAACCTGCTCTGGAAGGAGAAAAATTTTAAAGAGGTACAGTCAAAGGATATCTTTCATTTTCTTTGTTATCTGTTAATTCAAACAGCTGCTGAGCACAGTCCTTAATTAACTCATCCAGAGCATCTTCCATCGCTGACAAGTCGGAAAGCTCGTCCTGCAGCTTCTTCTGTTGGGGCATGGCTGCAAAGTTGTTGAGGTCAGACCCTCTGTGAAAGTATGAGAAGAAGGTCACCACCAGTATTATCCGGGTTAGTGCAGTGACAGAATAATGCAGACTGGGCCACTGGAGTGTCCCCCACAAGGACAAACGCTACTTAGACTTGACCTCTGCTCTCCATCATTACAGCTGGCCACACAAGCTTCCTGTGCATAAACTGGTTTTCGTCCCCATTTCTAGGCTCGTACACAGGGACTTAAAAAAGCCAAACATATCATAACCCTATTGAAATTAACAGTAGTGAAAACTCAATGAAGCTTAATTAAGTAGGAAAAATTTAATGAAGTAGCAAGGAAAGCCTAATGAAATGACCGCTGACCTAAGCGTCATGAATTCCCCATTTAAGCTCCAGCTCTACCACGTGCTGAATGGCTTTTGACACATCATAACCTTTCATCCCTTAATTTCTGCACACGAATAACAGGCAGTGCTGGCTAAGTGACAGTTCCTCTGCTAAAATTCAGAGTCCTCAGTCTTCCTTACTGTGCATATTCTACCTGGTTCTACCTGGATACACAGATATTCACTGTTCTTAAACGATTTATTTTCCTTATTACTGTTTAGCCCAATATGGTACGACCTGAGTAACAACTGGCATTCATGTTTTCTTCAGTCTTTATGAGCTGTTACCACTACCTTTAGCTAGTTTTCAAATCTAATCCTCAGATTCAGATACTAACCCTCTAAGTGGCGTTCAATGTTATTTAGTAAATGCACTCAAGTGAGAATTCAATCTGCTTTTCTGTACCACTGGAAAACATATCTCCTTTATAAACACCCTTTTCCTAATAGCTAAGTTAGTTATTTAGAATCATTTCACGATCTTTGTTGGGAGAGTCTTCATTTGCCTGAAAGGTCTCTATGTACTTATATGCTGAAACTGTTTCTCTGCAAATGTTTGGAACTGTTCCCAAATTACTCGCCTGTTTTAAGTGTACTGGCTTCTTATGTGCACACGCACGTGCACACACACACACACACACGCTTATCTGTTTCGTAAGGTGCTCCTTCCACATGGTCTTCAGAGTGGGGAGGCAGGCGGATTCCCGCTTTGCTGCGGAGCAGCAGGAAGCTAACCTGAGGGGCGGGGGCCAGCGTGCTCACCGCGCTAGTACACAGAATCCCTGTTCGACCACCTTCGCTGACTTCCCCGTTACCAGTAATCAATTGGAACTGAGGGAGTATTTTTGAAAAGTGAGTATCTTAAATTCAATCGTTATTTCATTTAACTTACCCATAATACCCTACTATCTATGACTTAAACAGGAAAAAGTTTATGGACTGTGGGAGACAGGGCAAAAACACTTTGCAGAACCCTTTCTGGCAGGAAGCCGCACTTGACCGTGTCCCCCGCAGTCAGACACAGCTGCCGCCGGCACGCTGGGTTTCGGCGGCGGCATGGCTCTGCCACTCCGTGCAAAGGAGCGGGGCCCCGAGGTCCGAGGCCAACTTACATCCACCGAATGTGGTTCTTGGACTTCTTCTCCACCAGTTCGATCCCGTCCAAGACGTTGGTGATGTCGTATACTCGCCGCTTCCGCACGCCCAGCTTCGCTGCGACCTTGTTCAGGTCCAGGATGCCCCCAGGCGCGTTTCTGACCAGGTCCATGAACTTCCGAGTCAAGTAAACCAGGGACACATCAAAACGAGGTCTCTTCACCTTTAGAGTTTCTGGGAAACAAAACAAACCCATTTGTAAAATTTTAAATAGGACTTTATTCTCAACTCATTAAAAAATAATTTATTTCCTCTTTATCAGTCAACACAGACACCTACAGAAAATCTACACACTGACCAAATATCATTGCTAATTTTTACGAAACAGGTTTTTCAAACTTGATAAAAATTAACTTCTCCCAGGTAAAAAAGGCTTTAGACTTAAAGGACTATTGAGACCATGCAACCCACATAAAATTTTTTTTTAAAGATTTATTTTTAGAGAGGGGAAGGGAGGGAGAAAGAGAGAGAGAAACATCTCTCGGTTGCCTCTTGCAGGCCCCCAAGCATGTGCCCTGACTGGGAACTGAACCAGCAACCCTCCAGCTTGTAGGACGCCACCTGGTCCACTGAGCCGCACCAGCCAGCCCTGTGAACTTTAGAGGCCTATTGCACCTTATGGGACAAAGTGGTGAATTTGCATTTGTGTCTACAAAACTTGAGGAATCAAGTTAAAAGTGATTTTTAAAATTAATTTTCTCATTTGGTCTTCAAGTTAAGGAATTCTTTATGAAGCAAAGGTAGAGGCCTGGCTTTGTCTGTCTGTCTGTTTCAAATGTTTCTACACGTGTCGGAGTGTGACCCTGTCTGGCCAAGTTTTTACAGAGCTCAAGTTAGACTTCCATTAGAACAACTGGGATATACCTCAAGGGAAAGTGGTTTATCTGATTTCTACACCCACCAGGTCCTACTAACAGATAAGCAAACGAAGGGAAGAAGTCTCTTTAACCCCCTCAATGCTTTTGGTTTTTTATACACTCTGCCTCTCCATACACATACATACATGTGTGTGTCTATACATGTAGTTTCTAAGAACAGATACAGGAATATAACTATTTTTTAACATGCTGTTTTTAACTCAGCACTGTGAACACCCCGGCTTGCCAGCAAACGCCCTTCCGCTGGATGGTAATGCACAGCAAGGTGACGACGGACACGGAGGACAGTTGTCCAGAGAGTGGGTCCCAGGGAGACCACACGGAGAGATTTTCTCCTTTCACTACGTCTACATGCGGCGATGGATGTTAACCCACCTGCTGCGGTAGTTACTTCACAGTCTAGGTAAGTCGACCCTACACACCTGACACTTATGCAGTGATAGATGTCGGTTATATCCCAGTAAAACTGGAGAAAGGTGTTTTGTTAATGACTGCATAATTTTAACATTATTCTTAACAGCTTCGCAGTATCTAACTGCAGGAAACATGTGCTTCCTCACCCCAATACTGGAAATTCAGACTGTCTACAACTGTATAATTTTGCACAACACTTTGATACATCTCTTTGGAGCTGTATTTTTACATGCATCTGTAAGTCCTTCCCTTGAAGACATCACAACGCACAGCGTCACTAAGCCAAAGGGCACGTGCACAGGAGCCATGACCAGTGCTGCAAACCCCGCCCACAACTGGGGACCGTGCTGCAGGGCCTGCTAGGACTAAGTATCCCCACTCTTCCCACCCTACCCAACGTGATACTGAAAAACGTTCATCTGGTTTGATGTGCAGAGGAAGTAAATTCACAAATAGTTGTTTTTCTGGTGTGGAACACATGGTTTTCCTTTTTCTCTGCTTTCACAGCACAGTGCATGTGAGAAGAACTCACTATTCTCACTCAGAACGGCCCCATCCAGAACCTCTGCCACGCCACAGACAGCTGAAACATCACTGGTGGCCATGCCAAGACTGAAAGCACGTATTTTATAATGTGAATGTCTGCTGTGCGCAGATCACTCCTATACTTGAGATGGGACAGGATTAAAAAGAAATGAACGTTCAATAAATTACAGGTGAGTCCCAGTTCTACAGTAAACCCTGGTAATCTAACCCTGGGAAGCGCACATTCAGTCACGCTAGACCACTAGCAGGACCACAAGCTCAGCAGTCGCTTCCTGTCTAGTCCTGTCGTAGGGAATGGCATGCATCGCACACCTGCAGCACCAGGGCAGGCGGAGGGACGGGACGACTGAAAGGCCCTCAGACTCAAGGCCTCCAGGAGCCGCCTGGGGGAGAATAAACCGGGGCTGGAGAGGCACGGGAAGCCTCCTCGAGGGAGAACTCTGGGGACAGAGAGGGGGCAGAGAGGGCACAGAGAGGGGGCAGGCGGACAGGAGGGCGCCCTCCCCTCTGATGGGGGTTGAGGCCAGCTGAGGACACACGTGTGAAAGGAGCGCACGGCAGGAGGACAGGGCATGTCTGGGCGCCCACAGTTGGCACCGCTCCTGTGGAGTGGGCAGCACGGGTCTGAGGGCCCTGCCTGTCTGCCTGTCCATTCCCTGCCACCTCGTTTCTCTTAAGGGCGTGAGGCGGCTTACCGATCTCACGCAAACCAGCAAAACCACAGAGACGGGGAGGCAGGGGCTCCTCTGGAGGAGACGGAGCATCACGGGTTCCCAGTGAGGGACAGCACAGCCCCGGTCCCACGTCAGAACAGCCACCGGCCGAAGGGAGGCTCCCCGGTAGAAGGCAGCAGTGGGAAGAGCCTGGGGGCAGAGTCCCCTGCTCCTGTCTGGGAGCGGGACAACCGGAGCCGCACCGTCTCTCTGCCAGACGGGCGTGGGATCCAGCCCTGACTGAGCGAGTGACTTAAGCTCTCTGGGCCTCAGTTTATGCGTCTGTGAAACGGACAGTTCACACCTCCACTATGAAGGGGCTGTGGTGAGAGGCCGGGCAAAGAGCTTAAAGCAGGGCCAGACACGGTAGGTGCAGTAACGGTCTGACACTATGCCTGCTGGTGGAATGGGGCAGAGGGGGCCCTTCGAAGGCCAAACTCGGACCCTGACTGTGGGTGGGCTGGGACAAGGGCTGAGGACAAATTCAGGCCCGGCACTAACATTTTCCATTTGGGCACGGATGCACCGTGTATCCAGAGGACAGGACCGAATTAAGGGGGAAGGAGCCTGGGGCATCTGTCACGATTTCCAGAGGGACAGGGAACACCCTGGCCCCTCTAGCTGACTCTGAGTGCCGGCCCAGGACAGGAATCAAATCAGAGCACGGGGACCCAGCGGGGGCGGGGAGGGACCCCTGGTGCACCGGCCTCAGGGGCGCTGAGGGCAGCAGGACCCTGCGCTCAGACTCCAGGGAGCTGCCACAGTGGGCGAAGGCTTTCCTGCACGTCCTTCAGCCCCAACCCCGGGAAACTCCAAGCTTTACAGTTTGGTGTACAAATAATAAAGGTTACTTAAGTCGCTCATCAACTGACATACATTTAAAATAAATCATTTCAATCACAAGGAGTTCAAACTATTAGGTTGGCCAAAAAGTTAGCTTAGTTTTTTCCGCACAATGGCTCTAGTGCACTCAGTTGTTAACTTCATTCGAAACAATTTTGTTAGACTGTACTGTGACAGCTGGCATATCGATGTGTATTTAAAAAAAACTTCAAAATCGGTAGATTTTAGTGCAGTCATTGTAATAGTGAAGATGAAAGAAAATAAGCAACATTTCTCACATATTATGCTTTATTATTTCAAGAAAGATAAAAACACAGCTGAAATGCAAAAACAGCTCTATGCAGTGTATGGAGAAGGTGCTGTGACTGACCGAACGTGTCAAAGTGGTTTGCGAGGTTTCCTGGTACTACTGACGTTTGGCCAAACAATGCTCCGCCGTGGGGCTGTCCTATGCACTGGAAGATGTTCAGCAGCGCCCCGGCCTCTCCCCAGTAGAAGCCAATAGTGGGAGAGAGCGGACATACTCAGAATATCCAAATCAGTAAGGTTAGTGGTGAAAATGAAAAATGTGTCCTTTACTTTATGGAAAAAAATGTGACGGACTTTTTGGCCGACCCAATACGAAACCTAGAACCTATTCGGGAATCGACTTACTTCTCATGGACACATATTGCACATTATCTTCTAAATTAATCCTTATTTTTGATGGCTGGAAAAAAGAAGAAACACCAGAAATTTAACTTAGTCATTTAAAAGCAACAATGCCCACAAACAGCACTTCACTGGGTAACACACAGCTGCTCCTCCCCACCCCCACACGCACTCCGGGCTAACAATTTGGGTGCGAGAAGCATCCGTCTTCCTTCCAAATCAGATCCACTCTAACTGTGATCCCATCTGACAGTGTCATAGGTTATAGTTTGAGAAGGGGGTGGGGGGAGGAGCGGCGAGGGAGAAAACACAAGTACGAGAACACATCACTGAACGAACACTAGTTTGTCACTGCAGCAGACCCTAAGGACAGAAAGAAACACGAGACTCTGTCCCTGACTCCAGAAGACTCAGGAGACGCCAGACACACCTGAACTGAAAATCGCTCACCTCTTGCTACTTGAGTGTCAGTGGCTCCCGACAATCCGCCCATGGCCCTTCACAGGTGGCCACGTGTCCCCACGACAGTTAAAGTAAAAAGAGCAGCCCTTCGCAGGATGGAAAATAACGCACCCACGCACTAGAAACTTTGTGATTCAGATTAACAAACGCTTCCTTTCAAATCCCCGAAACGACCAGGAAATTAGTGGTAGCTCCACTATCAGTGCTTCTCCATTTTATCAGCTATTTAGAGGAAAGAAGAATTCACACGATCTGGCAGCAACATTTATAATACATTTAAAAACTGTTTTTGTAAAAATAAACCTGTAGCCCCGGCGGTGTGGCTGAGTGCTGTCCTGCAACCGGAAGGTCACCGGTTCGATTCCTGGTCAGGCACAGGCCTGGGTTGTGGGTTCCGTCCGCAGCTGGGGCGTGTACACAAGGGAACCAATCACTGCTTCTCTCTCACATCGATGTTTCTCTCCTGCTTTCTCCCTCCCCTCCCCTCTCTCTAAAATCAAAAAGCATGTCCTGGGGGTGAGAATGAAAAACAAACAATCAAACAAAACAAAACCTCTGGATGAAGCCGTGTGAACAGAAACCCTCGTTAGCCTCGTGCTTAGAACAAAGTGTAACGTCGCTGTGCCTCCGAGTAGGCTGCGGTCCAGCAGGTTCCACTCTTGCCCGAGTAAAAAAACTGGCCTGAGACTGGCTGTAACCCCATCAGGTGCTCGGAGGGAAGGGTCCACAGGACTACAACGGGCACCCCCAGAGGGGGACTGGCAGGATTCAGAGAAGGGGACCCCCAGCTGGGCCTTGAAGGACACATTTGAAGGCCTCGCTAGAACCAGGCTTTTGTCGTAACCACTGGAGATGTATCCCAGATTCTGGACAAGCACGTGACGTATTGAAGCAGGTGGTGCAGGAATGTGAGTACGGGAGACACACCGCACAGAGCCCGGGGGCGTGGGGGCCTGACGGCAAGGCCAGCCACTCCGAGGCTGCTCAGTGGTCCGAGTCCTTGCCACGGGATCTCCATGGTCTGTGACAAGATCACAGAGTCCGTTAGCAAGTTAATGTGATGTGGAATGAGTTCACGGAAACAAGAATTCTGCTGTAAAATGAATTTAGTTGTTAGAATTTAAAGGAAAACATAGACCGGCCGAGTGAGCGAAACCAAAGTTGGGTGTGCTTGTCTGGGAGCAGAGGCTATGCCTGCAGCCAGGAGTAACAGCGGCAGCCGACAGAGACGAGCCCACCGTGACACGCCCAAGGGCGGTCAAACCTCAGCCGGCCAGGCGTGACCAAGTGTCACTGCTAGTTTTACTCGTACCCCCTCTGCTCGGGCAGTACGAGACAGAGCCTAACTATTCTATCAGACTCTAGAAAAATAATGCATCTTCATGGCAGCGATCAGAAACACACAGACACGTATCCTGAACTGTTATATACACCAAGGCCTGTTTACGGGGTTTCTACTTGGTCCGTGATCTGTTACTCCCATCTCTGCAGCACATCACTTCAGTGACTGTGAGGCTGGAATAAATCTGCTACCGTCGGCGCAGTCCTGAGGATGCGCTGCAGGGAGGTAAGTGGCGCAGAGCTCACTTCTAGGCCTACGGCAGCAGCACTCAGCGGTTTCCCAACGGGCTGCCAACTATCTGCCCTGCACGCATTCTAGAAGGGCACCTTTTCTGCTCTGTGCCACTCCTGCAATCAGGCCTGGTGAAACGAAAAGGGTGACTTTCTCTCCCCTTTATTCTCTGCTACAGAGGCAGGCGCACTAATGTTGGCTGTGCTGAGATCTGCAGGAAAACAGACTGCAACAGCATCCACTCATCTTTTTTCTCTGAATGTGAAAACATCTCCTTATCTCAAGGAATCACAACAGCATCACGGCCTGCCAGGGCAGATGCCCCTTACGTATGAACCCCACTGGTCTGCAGTCCTGGAGATTCCAAAGTAATCGTTCCCCCAGTAACGATACATTCACCTCCTTCACATTCAAAACAGTTCTTGGCCTAAGACCTGGTTTGGGACTACCAATTATTGGCTTCCTAGATGCTGGCAGGTCCTGACTTTTATTCGGGACACCATGTAGTGATATCACTTTATTGCCCATTTTTGCCCAAGGTAATGTGAAAATTAAACAGGAAATTTTGTGAATTATGAAATCTTACACAACCACATATTATTGTTTTCCTTTTCGAACCCAAGTGGTGCCTGGCACAGTCAGGCAACTGGTAAGTACCTGTCACAAACTCGGGAGTGGAGACTGAAATGGCACCTTGTCAGTGGTGGTGCTGACGGAAAAACAACTTGGCACTGTGAAACAGCGAGTGTGTAAAGACCCCGGGTGATGCCGCCCTCGTGGCTCCACCCTTCACAAGGATCACGGAGAGAACGCGAAGCCCCTTCCCCAGTCCTAATACAACACTCCTCGTCTGGAGAGATGCCCCAACACTCCTGGCAAGTCTTTCCAGCTACTGGACTGTGGTGAACTGCCCTCGAAAGGCAGGCAAGGAGCCCTTCTAGGAACAGATGGGACTAGACAGGACCTCTCCTTCTGAAGTGACTTTAGCCTCAGAATAAATGTTTCCCCACACAAAAGTCGGGGAGCTAAAAAAAAGTTAACGCAAGGCCACCCTGCACTTGGCCCCACATCATGAAGACCCGCGCCATCAGCACTGCGCCTCACCTGGGAGAGAGTGGATGGCCCCTGCGCCCTCGCGTGGATGAAAAAACGGGGACAGGAGGTGGAGTGCGGAGGGGTGCCCACTTTCCGTTTATTTTGAACCACTCTCAGCCTTCAGAAAACCCGCAGAAGAGGCACTAAGAATCACCACATCCATTCCTTTCACCAGCCCGCCCAAAGGCGCATCTGTTACTGCACTGGCTTTGTCGTGTTTGTCTCTGTACACACATGCTCCCCCCGCCCCCGCCCTGGTCACTGGAGGGTGAACTGCAGACCGCTAACTCAGTGTGTAGCTCAGGGACACTCCCTTACACAACTGCAGCACAATCCCCACGTATGTTCATGACTAAGTGGTCTTCAAAGAGCTTGTCAGGACTCTCGGGCTTCTGGTCAAGATAGAGGTGTAGGTAAACTCATCTACAGCAAAAACATGACTAGGTACAAAACAAACTTCACCCAGAACTGTCAGAAAATCGAGCTGCGTGGAAGTCCGACAAACAAGGATGTAAAGAAACCACACTCGTCCAGACGGGTAGGAGGGTTGTAGGAGGGGTGCAGATGTAGAGACCGTGCAGATGGGCAGTCCCACGTCCCCGGGTGGTGGATAAAAACCGGGACGGACACCTCGGAAGCAAGGGATCAGCCCCAGTCCAAACCACCTAACCCAGGGTCCCAGCACCAGGAAGGTAAGTCCCCATAATTTCTGGCCACAAACCAGTCAGGGTTGGGGCAGTAGAAGAAACTGCATCCTCTTACAGGGCCTGCAGTGGATTTAGGACTCACACAGACCCACCCGCTCTGGGATTCAGCTCAAGGGCAACAGCTGAAAGGGCACCAGTGGCAAATGGGGAGAAAGCAAGGTGTGAGCGGGGAAGGCAGCTTCCTCCCGGGCAAAACTCCAGAGGCCAGGCAGTGGCCTGTCCCCCTCCCACCCTCCCCCACTCAGAGCAACAGAGCAGTGACCCGGGTTGCCCACCCTGCCAATTACCTAAGCCTCCACCCCATACAACTTAGCAGGTGCGCTAAGACAGAGTCAAAGCAGCTCTAATACACAAAAACACAGGAGGCACCAAAATGATGAGACAAAGAACATGGCCCAATGAAAGGAGGACCACTGACAGCCACCGCAGTGCACACCTCCCGGGAACCAGCCCTCCTGATGGGGGAGTTGGCTCGTTCCCAGCCACTGTGCACAGCTCCACCCCCCTCCCCCATCTGAAGACCCGGGGCTCTAAATCTGAGCTCTCAAACTAACAAAAGGAGGTGAGTTTTAGGGGCTACTATCTTAAGCATTGCTTCTAAATTCATTAAAATTTTCTCTGTACAGATTTTACTTTGTACCGATTGGGGAGTCACTACAAAGTTTCGGGGAACAACATCTCTTTAAGAACCCTCTGAATATATGTATTTCTCCAAGGTGACTGTGTTTTCACTCATTTAAATTTTCCTTGTTTTCAATGTGTAGACTAAGTTCCACCCCCAAGAACATTATTTTCTCCCTTCTCAAAATCCAGTTTTCAAGCCCTTTACCCAGAGAACACCAACCACTCAGCCAAACACATACCTACTCTGTGCACAGCGATGCACTCTGTGTGTTTAATTGTAAGATGCTTCCAACCACCAGCCCATTCAAAAGCACCGAGATGGGTGTTCGAATCACCATTTCACAGGCAGGAGAATAAATGGCCACACATTCAAACATTTCCCATTTACAGAGTGCCTACTTCATCTACTCAATGACTACTGATCAAATCTTTTTGTGAGAGGCACCGAATATGCTGGACACAGGACAATGAAATGGACAGTCACTACAGTGAGGGACTTGACAGCCACACACTTCAAAGAGGGGGCAAGTGAGCACAGGGGGCTTTGAGCACAACGGGTGTTGTGTGAACCCTGTGTTCAGAGGTCAGGGAAGGCTTCAGACAAGTGACCTATAAATGTGACCTGACATGACAAAGGCAACTGTGTCTTTAAAAAAAAACTTTTGGAAAGGGAAAAGTGGATATGTAAGGGTCCCCCAAAATATGAAAATATATAGAAAAATTGGGGCAAAACTAGAAGCAAGAATACTGGTTAGGAAAACACTGCAACAATCTGAAAAATAAATGATGGTTAGAAGTGGCGAGCATTGGGGATTATGTTTTAATCAGTTTGGGAAGATGGAGAGGTTAGTCTGGAAAAGGGAAAAGGCAAGGATGATGCTCAGCACCGGAGCTCAGGCAACTCGGTGGGTGTGTCGGCATCTGGAGACAGCAAAGGAGGCAGCAAAGTTGCTGCCCGCTAGCAAGAAGCAGATGAATTCGATTTTGGACATATAGGTTTCAAATCTAAGTAATCTAGTAAACAGCTGAAGAGCTCTGAGCTGCATTCATCGATTTGGGAGTTATCATGACATGGTAACTAAAACTAACAGTGAGTGGATAAGAATATCTAAAAATAACAAACAAAAAAAATATCTAAGACTTCAAAGGATGTGTGCAAATTCACATTAAGTGGTTTTTCTATAGCCAGAGCTCAGAGCTTCCACCATATTCTCAAAGATTAAGACCTCCAACATGGATAGTAACAGAAGTCATGAATGACATCCTGCATGAAGCACGTGTGTGGAAGGTAGACATCAACAGGTAAGGAATGGGAAGGGCAGGAGTCTGCCAAGGAGCACAAGGAGAGACCAGATGCACCAAGAGTATATGTGTCAAGAAGCCATTCAGTGGTGAGTTTCCAACACAAGCAAGTGGTCAAACATAGCAAAGCTTTGGAGATAAGGAGTGAAACGTCCGCTGGAACTGACAATGTTGCTGGCAACCTTGGTGAGAACACTTAGAGCCGTGCTGCCCCTGGAGGTTCCCCAGCTGTGGGTTAAGGTGGTAATGACAGGTAAGCGCGTAGACAAGGAATGCAAACAAATTTTTTCAAGTAGTTTGGCTGTGCAGGGGAACACATGCAGCAGGTAGAAGGACATATAGAATTATATGAGGGATTTTTTAAGATGAGGGTGAATTTAGGATGCAGTTTAAGTAGTCACGAATTTATGGTATGAAATCAAGACACTGTAAAGTCATAGCCCTGGCTGGAGTAGCTCAGTGGATTGAGCACAGGTCTTCGAACCAGAGTATCACAGTTTGATTTCCAGTCAGGGCACATGCCTGGGGTGCAGCCCAGTTCCCAGCAGGGGACACACGGGAGGCAACCATACATTGATATTTCTCTCCCTCTCTCCTTCCCTTACCCTCTAAAGATAAATAAAAATTAAAAAAAAAAGACACTGTGAGGTCAAATTTAGGCTTTTCTACATACTGTCTAACCATGGGCAAGCCACTTGATAATCCCAGGTCTATTTTGGCAACTGTAAAACGAGAATAATAGTCTCTTAGGGATGCCTTGAGGAATTACACAAGATAATGTCATTAACTATTTTTGAGCACTGAGTTCTCATGGGGACTGGGCTCACTGACTACTTAGGAGAAAAATCCAATACAGAAATTGAAAATTCAGGGAGAGATGGAAAAAGACGGATTCACCAGCAGCCCTGAGAACCATGGACAATACACTGCATCTAGTCTAGACCAACAGAGGACATTAACCTTTTGCAGGAAGACAGCCCAAGCTCCCATCTGTCTCCGTCCAACAGACGCAAGATAACTTGCTGAATGTGGGGTGGGAAATGCTAAGTGTGGACGAGCTGCAGGACGAACTACATTGCTGCAGTTAAGCAGAAGGGGAGAGGATGCCAAAGAGAAACTGAGAGCTTGCAGAGATGCACTGAGGGTGAGTGGAAGTAGAAAAACGAGATTTTCTGACGCAAAGTTGAGCACCTGTCTCCATCACTGCTGTGTAGCCCCAAGATAAATGCCAAGAAGGATGACAACACATTTGAAAGTATGTGCGGAAAGAATACAAGAGTTTGAGCGAAAAACGAGCAGTGCAAGAGCGGAGGAGATCGAGGAGCCGCCATCGGCCCACCCTGGGTAAGCTCACGACCCAATTCAGTCCAGCTTCCTTTCGGAGGGGAAGGAACAGCTGAGTCTGAGACCCGACCCCATCCGGAGCCGCGCCAGGGTTGCGGGCGCTCAGGACTCAGGCCGTCCCCGGGACTTACCAGCAGGCCGTCCACGTTGATGGGGTCTCGGCACCGACGGCGCACCGTCTCCTCCGCCGGGTCCACGAGCAGGCTGGGCAGTTTCCGCGCTGGCCGCTGCTGACTCATGCTGCCCAGCGGGCCGCCCCTCGCCCCCCGCGAGTTCTCCCGCCTTCTCCCGGTCCCGTCGGACACCGCCCCCAACACGCCGTTCTCGGAGCTAAGCTCGAACAGAGCTCGCGGACTGCTAGGAGATGCCCTTGGCTGGACCTGGCTGCGGACCAACGCGCCACTGCCCACGGCCCCGGGAGTTATCACGCAGACAGGAGGAGAACTGGGTAACCGGGAACTCTTGGGGAAGATACGGCCGCCATTTTTCCGCATGCGCAGTGTGCCACCCCTAGCGCGCCGTCCCCAGTGCGCATGCCCGTCCCACGCCCCTATCCTCGCGCTGGGTCCGGAGGCCGCGAAATACCGGACAGCAGCGTCCACGCTGAGGAAGGCGGAGGAAAGGAAGAGGTGGAGCACGAATCCAGAGGAAGGGGCGGGGCGGGGAGATATCGGTACGGAACCGAACAAACAAATAAACAAACAAATAAACAAACAAAGTTCCCAACCAGGCAGCTGGGAAATCACAATAGTTCCTGGGAGTTCCTGACACTATAACGATGCTGGTATCTGAAAGGTCGGAGCTGGCAGAGATGTTAATTTATACTTTTTTTAAATTTTAAGGATTTTATTTACTGTTATAGAGAGCGGAAGGGATGGAGAAAGAGAGGGAGAGAAACGTCAATGTGTGAGAGACACATTGGTCAGTTGCCTGTCGCAAGGTCCCAACTGGGGACCCAGGCATGTGCCCTGATTGGGAATGGAACCCTGCGGGCTGGCGCCGAAGCCACTGAGCTACACCAGCCAGGGCACAGATACTAAATTATTCTTGAGCTCCCTCTGCACCTCTCTGGCATTTGCCCAGGGCTAATACCTAGAAGACAATGGTAATCAAACTGCTGTGGAATTATTTACTTATATGCTTCTCTCTCTTTTTCTCCCTTGCTTTCTCTTTCATTTGGTGCATAAATTATTGATAGCCTATTCTATCAGTTACTGCGGTGGACACAGGAGCTGTTTATTTGAAGTCCTCACAGACTCAATCTCAAATTCCAGAGGAGGAGACAGATAAACAGAACTTGTAAAGCTGGACCCAGAGGTGTGTTTTCAAATCCCGGCTCCTTCTTCAGTTACAAGACCTTAAGCAAGTTTCTGAATTGCTCTGTTTCAGTTTCTTCACCTGCTAAATGGGAATAATGACCATAGGTACCTCAGAAGGCCTTTGTGAGGATTAAATGAATGAAAGAATGTAGATCACTTACAACAGGGGCAAGCATACTAAGGGGTGGAGGGCGGCAACTGAGCCAGGGAATTAGACCAGAGGCTCCCGCCCAGTCCGAGAGGCCCAGCAGGGAAAGCTTCTGGAGGAAGTCGCCTCCCCAGACGCTAAACTTCTGGAAGTCAGAGACATGCTCTCTAATCTTTCTGTGTCCAGCATGCGGCACAGTACCTGGGGGAATAGTAAGTGCTCGGTACACGTTTGCTAAGTGAGTGACTGAAGTGAAGGATAACCTAGGGGAAGTCTCTAGAATGTTGGGTTTTGTTGCAGAATGGAGAATTTCCCAGGCAGTTAAAAGATGCCTGTACCAGCCAGAGTCCAGAGGAAGGCAAGCTCTGCAGACTAGGAGTGGCTGCTTTTATGAGTAAGCTGTTAATTAAGCATTTGCATTCTGCTAAATGTTCCGCATACATTTTCTCATGTAGTTCATATATCAAAACTGAAAGATGGGCATTTTGGGGGTCGAATTGACAGATCAGGAAGATTAGCAAGATTACAAAAATTACCTGAAGTCCTGGTGAGGAAGGAGGAAGTGGTAGAGGCAGGATTTGACATCACAGCTGATTAATTAATTTGGTATATCGGTCCCTGAGAAGATGCCTGAAAAGTGACTGATTTTCAGTAGCCAGAAATGGGGCTGGGTGAGTGAAAGTGGGGTGTTGGTCAGGATGGGGGTGGTCACAGAGAGTCAGTGCAGTGACACAGCCCTACAGAAATTTACACCTGTTACTAGGCAGGAAGTCAGGGAGCTCCCACTCTGTGTAGCCAGGGTCACCTGCTCAGAGTAAGGGGCAATGCTTGGATTGAAGATTTGGGAGACATAGCAGACACCCAGTAAGTATTTGTACAGTGGTGGTCGCAGGGGTGGGGGGCGGTAGAGGAGACTGACTTGGGAAACGTAAGATTGCGGGGCCACAGTGGACATTGCTTCTGTGGTCCATGGCTGCCCCCCAGGTCTCTGCCATACAAACGAGAGTTGGAGGAAGCAGAGGGCATGTGTAAAACATGGCAGAGGAGAAATGGTGGTCTCAGGGCCATTCCGCCATTGGTTTTCTGTGTGTAATAGTTGGGGTGATGGGATGTTAGGGCAGGAAGAGACCCTGGGGATCATTCAGTAGAACTCTCATTTCACATGGGGATGGAACTGAGAACAGAGAGGGGAGGGACTTGCCTCAGATCAAAAAGATCTTAGCAGAGCTGGTTATTTACTTTCCAGATCAGTACGCTTTTTAGGGAATTGCGACGAGGACAAACAGTGTAAGAGAGGAGCTCCGGAGAGGTGGAAGGACACCGAGAAACGAGGGGGCGTGGGAAAAGGAAGAGACGAACCTGAGCTGGAGCCAGTCCTGCGTCAACCCTTATTAGCCCACAACTGGCAAGTAACTTAACCTTTGGGACCCTCAGTTTCTATGTTTGTAAACCTGCAAATCTGTTGTATTAGAGATAATGCATATCAAGTGCCCAGTGGGCACTCATCTCCAATGGGAACGGGAGCATCACCATTTCACAGGGGCTGTTTTCTAATCAAGTCTTAAAGCCTCCTACTCCAGTACTGGAAACGGTAGTAAAATGACATCAGGTGGAACAAAGAGCAGTGCAGTTAACTCTTTGTTCCGAGTTTTTGTTCGGAGCGTGACTAGCTCTATAGGGAGCTCCCAGGACAGTGCCGCCCACAGAAGTTGTCCTTGGTGCAGGCACGTGGATTCAGTCTCTCCACTTAGCAACAGTGTCTGCCTCAGAATGAAACCAAAGAGTCCTCCTGCAGTCGAATGCACCCCCAGGGGCAAATCCCCCTGGAAGCCTGTCTGAGAGGACCTGTGGGAGGGGTGCACTGCTGCGGTACGCCCGGGTGAGCTGCAAAGGGAAAGCCACAAAGGGAGGGAGGGGCTTCTCCGAGGCTGGTGGGTTTCGGCCTTTCCCTCCCCCTGGTTCCTGTTGGGGGCGCCTGCCCTCCTCTCATCGTGCCCGGGCTATTGTTACTGCTTCCTAACTCACTTCCCTGCCTTCCATCTCTTCACCTACCACTGCGGAGGGACTCTACCCTATACACTGTCAAATGAGACAACTGCCCCTCTTTTGCTGGTAACTGCTGACCTCTCATTAGCAGATAAATTGTTCTGAAGCACAGATCTGATCTCATCACTCCTGGGCTTAGAATGTGGCTGGGTACTTTGTGGTATTATCATCCCCCCCGCAAGCTGGCTGCTTGCCTGCCTGGCTGCCGCCCCCCCCCACCCCGTTACACTTCTGGAGGGCAGGAGTTGCGTCCCCCTCCCCCCCAGTCAGGAGCCCCTGACCACCTTTTCATGGCGCATGGGTTACATCATCTTCCCTGGTCCAGTTCCATTAATCTTCACTCAATCCCTTCAAATCGTCCCTTCACTGTTGTGTCTTCTTTCATGTTGTTTTCTTTGACTAGAACATTCTTCCTTTGATGCTTCCTCTAGCAAACTACTCCTGTTAGACATCCTTCCCCCAGAAGCCCACCCTGAACCCTGATGAGGCCAGACCCCAGTCTCCTCCCCATGGCATCGGATAAGCCCCTGGGTGGATGCCCCTGATAACGTTTTACCATCAATGGGAACGTTACCTTATAACTAACCAAATCACATTTAGAAAAAAGAATATCTTTTTTTCGTGTTACTTTGCCATTTAAAGTCTGTTGCAAAACAGGACGACACAAGACGAAAAGATAACATTTTGTCTTAAATCTAAATGTACCAACCATACAGCAGATTTTGTTTGGAGTCAACATTATCAAATTTTTGCTAAGTTTAGCAACTTCTGTTTTTTCTTCTGCTTGAATTTTAGACGGCATGATACTCATTTTCTTAGTGCGTCTTGAATATTGTCAGTTTCAAGTACTTTTATTTTAGAGAAAGTGTGCCATACTGTCAGCATTGGGAATTCTCGGAAGTGTAGTTGGTACGGAATGTGCCTAAGAAAGCCTGTATTCACATTGTCAGATGGTTGATAACTCAGCTGACTCAAAGCTGCAGGGTTCAAATTTAATTCGTTAAAAATTTTATCAAAGCAAAGTTTCATTGGTAATAATTCGGATAGAATATTTGAATATTTTCTTTTGTCTTTATGCAGGGACATGATTAAAATTCATGTGCATTGTGTCAAAAAATACAGTGAGCAAACGTGAAATAACTTGTAAGGTATTTACATATCATTTACTTAATGAAAGAAGATAAACTATAATACCCTTTCCTAAAAGAAAAGGAAATTGCTAAGCATTAGACCTTAGAACACTGGTTTCAGATTTATGATTCCAAAATTTTCATTTTATTCTTTTCTATCACCAGTTACCCCTTCTATACCTTTTCCCACTTCCACCCCCCAAATTTTAAATATCATTAGACCTTTGAGAAATTTTGGTGAAAGAAAATTAAAGTATGTTCATGGATTTTTGAATAGGTATATTTACATGAACAATGAGGAATTTCCCCCTCACCCCTGTCTCTCAGCAGTAAAAGCCTCTCTTTGGAGGCTGCCATTGCATTTTTTAAATGTATGCTTGAGGGGATGTTTATGCACAAATATCCATCTGTGTTATTCCTTCTTCTTGCTTACACACTAATAATCATACAGTCTCTTGCTTTTTTAGCAAGAGCACAACAAAAGCCTTTCTTCCCCTTTCGTTGCCTACACAGCACTGTTCTCTGTGTCCAGACGGTGAGTCCCCCGTGCTGAGCCCCCAGCCCAGGTACTTCGGTTATTCCCAATATTTTGCCTCCACAAGCAGCACCAGGTGTGGAACCATCTTGTATCAATGTCATTCCACACAGGTGTGAGTATACCTGAAAGGGAAGTGAGTGGTTAGGAGTAAATCACTGCGCCAGAGGCACAGGCATTGGTGATTTTTTGATGGGTATTTTGAAGTTGTTCTCCAAACAAGTTACATCAATTTACCTTCCTGTTAGCAAGAGCTGGGGCCGTGAAAGTATGAGAAAGCAAATTTTCACTTCAAGGAACAGCAGTGTTCACTCTGTATTAATACATTTCTTTGACAAAAGCATTCTCATTCCTTTGGATAAAAAGAAGATACCCATCAAAATGCTACCAATTGCTAGAACAGTAAGTTATTTTGCTGATGCTATCAAAAGTTTTCCTAATCGCTTTGGCTGACAGTCTGACATGTCAGTATGCTCTTGTTTATGAATTTTGGGATCCATTACAATAACCTAAGTAAGTTATACATGTTCACAATGTAACGTACATGATACACTACATTCCTGGGTATTATTACATTCCTGAATATTGCTCTGAATAAACTCCCAAGAGGTGTTTGCAGAGAGGGAGAATGATGAGGTTAAATGTGATGGATGCCGATATCTACAGCAGTAATGTTTTTCTCCTTGCACTTCTTCAGTCCAGTGTGGTTCTGTCTAGTAAATGCCATTAGAGATTAGGAGGGTGGCCTTTAAATGTGGCCACACCACCGGCACAACAGTATTTCTGTGCACCGTTATTGGAACAGGGCGTCTTCTCAATCAAACTCGTGTGTGACTTTCATCTTTTCTGATTGGGGGGAACTGCAGTGCTAAACAATGAGGGTGTGACTATGCTGCTCCTCTGTTTTGAAAGAGCGTTCCATTGAAGCTGAGTTCTTACGTTCTAGTCTACTTGAATTCTTCAGGAGCGCAATTTAGTTTGTTTGCTCGTGTCTTGTTGATTGTTAAGCGCATTCTACTTATATTTTCACCTTCCATGAACTACCCCCAGGAGGTACACCTGTTCCACTAAACTCATTTGCCCCGGTGACTCTTGCCCTTGTTTATCTAATTTGATACCAGCCAAGATGACACTCTCAGGGCAGGTACAACACCAGCTATCATTTGCTGGCAGTGCCTAGACTCCCCACTAGGTGGAGCAGTTTTATTTAATACTTTAGAGAGTCCATTGAATCGAGCTTCTGAATTTTGGAGGGTCACACTATTCCTGGTAAAATGGGGGTGGAATGGAGTAGAGGAAGTGCAGTCAGATTTCAGTTTAAGGTTTCAGATGAAGAATTTCCAAATCTTTAGGCCACAGATTTACTATTGGTCAGGGTGGGGTTGAGCATCTCTGGTCTACACTGTGTGCAGAAATAAGACAGATCCTACTGTTGCGGTTGAATTGTGTTCCCCTTTCCAATTCCATGCATTGAAATCCTGATTCTCAGTACCTCAGAATGTGACCTTATTTGGAGTTGGGGTCTCAACAGAGATAATCCAACTAAAAGGAGGTCATTAAGTTGGCCTCTAGTCCAATGCAATTGGTGTCCTTATAAGAAGAGGAAATTGGGTCACAGTACCCTGGAGGGAAGGTGATATGAAGACAGCTACCTATGAGTCAAGGGAAGAGGCCTGGAGCAGATCCTTCCCTCACGGCCCACAGATGGAACCCATCCTGCTGACACTTGGACTTCAAGTTTCTGGTCTCCAGAACTCTGAGCAATAAATGTCCGTTGTTGTAGCCACTCAGTGTGTGGTATGCCATTGTGGCAGCCCGAGCAGGTGAATATCCCTCCCCATTCACACTTTGGGATGAGTTAAGCCAGCTGGGGTGGAGCATGTACACAGCCAGAGACACATTTTCCCCACGGGAAGTGATGATGAACACAAACTGGGTTATAGTTTAGAGATACGTTGTTGGAAGAAAACATGTTTTAAGTACTCTTCAGCCATTTAGAAGTCCCCCTTTCATAGAAACAAGTAATGTGCAGCTAACCAATGATTCTAAACAACTGGACATACACAAATAGGGCTTCTGAAGGCATTATCCCAGGCCACGCTGCTGCAGTTTAGTTGGGCAGTTGCAATGAGAATGTGACCTTCAGGGGATGATGCTGGTGTCATGGGAGGAGAGGATGTTGGCGCGTGTGTGGCTGGACAAGAAAAGATGCACACACATGAAAACGTGTGACAGCAGTTTGCATCTGGGTGCAGTCGTGTGAAAAATGTGTGTTGCAAAGAAATGGTAGGAAATATGGGTGCAAGGAGCGTGTGTGTGTGAAGGGGAGAAATGGTGTGACTGTGTATGGAGAGACTTGGTGTCTGTGGAAAGAATGTGAAAGATGAAAAGCCACATGGATGTTACAGCATGTGTGCTGTCTGGGTTTTAGGAAGCAAATGAGCGTGTAAGGAATGCATGTGCACACAAGTGAGGGGAATGTGTGTGAGGAGAAGTGTGTGGGTGTGGCTCTTTAGAATGACACAGGTCAAAGAGACAGATGCACCCAGGAGGCGTGTCTCATCGCCTCCTGATGCCACGCCTCCTCCCCAAGTGGGCTCGGGCTCATAGAGTGACAGCCCTTTGTGAGTTTCAGGTCAGTCACCACAGTTTTGTAGTTCGGTCCGGTTTTTGTCAGCATTTAAACTGGGCTGATTCTCCTCATTTAAGAAAATATCTTGAAATTACTTTTTCGAGTTTTAGTTCAAGTTCAATTAAGACATAAAATGGGTGGGTCAGTTTCAGCTCAGGAAAAACAAATCTGACTCATCGTATTTGTGTGTTGGTGTTTACATCAATGGCTAGAAGCAAAAGGGTGACTCATTAAGCCTGAAAACAATACACAGCTTTTTGTTGACTCTCATTTCTCGTCTAATTATTGTATTGGTAGGAGTCTGTTCATTTCTAAAATTTATTCTAGATTTTTAAAAATAGAATTAAATGGTTTTCCCAGAGTCATTACATTGAGTAACTAAGGTAAAGCTACTCTTCCTAAAGATTTTTCCCTACCAGTAACATTATTTTCACTTTGGTTCTTAGGTTGAGCCAAATTGTATTTTTTGTCTGTATTAAAAGTAACTTTAAGTGTTGGGTTTCAAGGGAAGAACTTACGTTTTGGAATGACTTTCTTCTACCAGAGGATGAACTAACCCTGCCCCAAATCTGCTCAGCTGCCTTTTCTTTTTTTCTCTTTTTTTACAAGTGGCCCAGGGGTTAATGAGTTTTACACTTTACAAGGTTATGTTTCATCTACGGCCATACCACCCTGAATGCGCCCAATCTCGTCTGATCTCGGAAGCTAAGCAGGGTCGGGCCTGGTTAGTACTTGGGTGGGAGACAAGGTTATGTTTCGAATCTTTATATCAGGACTTGTATAATAGAATAGTATTGATTTTGCCTCTTGGCCGGCAAAGACTAAAATATTTACTCCTGGGCCTTAAAAAAAAGTTTGCTGACCCATGTTCTGTAGAATTTTATAATTTTATAAGATGTAAGCTGTCAAAATGTAAGGGGCAAAAAGTAAGAATTTGTCGTATGGTGGTTACTGGTTTAGCCATGGCCATCACCTAGACCACTGAGCAAACCAGTTAATGTCGACGTTAATGGAGCTCAGCTCCTCTCTGCACGTTTTGCCCGAGTGGCTGAAAAATGGGCTGCACCCGAGAAATATCAGTGCAGTTTCAAGACTGTTCACTGCAGCCATGTGTATAGTCACGAGGAGCCGGGTCCCCTCAAATGTCCATCAGGAGCACGTGCATAAAAATCGTACCACGTCCACACAACTGGAACAGTATTGAGCAGTTAAAACGAACGAGGTGGAGCTACGTGTATGTTTAGATGGATCACACAATGGATCACACAATCATCGGGTTGAGCAAAACACCGTACACGACCCTTCGGAGGCAGAACATCGAGTTTGATAACACGCAGTAAGTCGCAAAGCAGGTGAAACGCTGCGTACCGCTTATGAACGCAGGCTTCTGTAGAGATGCTATAAAAACATGGATGCGATGTTTGGGAGGGACACCAGGACAGGCGGGGTGGGGAGGAAGGAACCGGGATCAGGGAGAGCTGTCCAGGGGCTGCGACCGACGGTTATTTCTTTCGCGAATATATATCTGAAGCAGCGTGGCAACAGGTTCCTGGGCACAGGGGGGCTCCTGACGCGACTCTCCCTGATGAGGTGAGTTTGAAACACATCGCAGGGAAGAACAGGGAGAGGATGGCGCTGCCAATCAGGGCAGGGGAGGTCTGCCGAGATCCGTTCCCCGCGTCCCTGGAGGACCCGAGGTGTGGGGGCGCTCGCGGCGGGCTACGCCCTCATTCATCCTTGTCTCTCCTTGTCTGCAAGGGCCCCGACTGTTAGGCCCAAGGCCACGCTGGGGGCCGTGAGAGCGAGTGGCCTGGCTCTAGCCCTGCGCTTCCCGCAGGTTCCTGAAATCATTGGTCTGTCTGTCGCTTAAAGAAAGAAAGGAATCTCGAGCTTTGCGCCCCCGGTCCCGTGCTCCAGCTGGGGGCGGCCTCTGCTCCAGTCCTCAGGGAGGTCTGCAAAGACTTAGTGTTTGAGGTTCGTTCCTTCGCTTCTTATGTTTCTTCTTCCTTCCTTCGTTCTTCTGATAAACGCCAGCTTCAGTAACGTTTGGCCCGGTTCCCTCCGCACGTGCCCATCATCCCAGAATCTTCCTCTTCCTCTGCTAAGCCTCAGGCAGACGCCCCTCTCCTGGACTCTGGTCCCCCCAGCCCCGCGTCCCTGGAGCCGGCCCTCTGCCGGGCTGGTGTGGTCGCGCGTGCCCTGCGGGACTCCCGCGGGGGCACCCAGCACGGCGGCTCTCAGCAGGGCTCCGCGGGGTCCCGGCCCGTGTTGTGGGGTCGGTGGTAGGCCTGGGCTCCGCTCCCGCTGCCCCACAGACCTGCTGTGGCCTTTCGTGGGACCTGGTGCCAAGTGGCAACACAATCTCTTCTCCGAAGGTTCTTCCAACTTCTGTCCAAACTTCCTCCCCGGCTAAGTCCCCTGTGGCCGGAGGGGCTCCCACTGGCGACCCTGCGGGAATGTCTGGGGGTTCGTGCCCCCGGGTCGAACGTGGCCGCCGGTGGGGGGAGGGATCCTTCGCACAGAGACTTAAGGAAACAACCCACCCTGAGTGCGGCGGCGCACCTCACCCGGTGCCCAGCACCTCGAGTGAGGAGTTGGGAATTTCACCGAGGTGGGCGCCCGGACAGTGCCCGAGGGCTGGCTACGGACCCCAAGTCTGACCTTGCGCCCCTAAGACCTGGGGCGCAAAGAGCCGGGGGCCGGGTGGGGTTACCGCGTCCTCCAAGGGGACGAGAGCGGGCCCGGGTCAAATTGGGGCGCCACCTCCCGAAGAGGGCGCGGGGGCTCGGCTCCTCCACGTCCCCCCTCCCCCCTCGCCCGCCGCCGCCGCCCGGTCCCAGCCGGGCGCCCGCAGCCAACACCCTGAACAGTCCGCAGTGCAAGTCCCGGGGCGGCCGGGCCCACCGCGTGCCCCTCCTCCGCGGCCGACCCGAAGACCCGGAGAGGTGGATTCAGGGGCGGCCGGTGTCAGGGGTCGGGTCCTCCGGGCGGGCTGCGCTCCGCTCCTCCGGGTTTGCCGAGCGCCCCCCGCGCCACCGAGCCCGAAAGCTGGGGCGTGCAGGCGGCTGGAGGCTGGGCTGGTGGTCCGACGGTGCCGGGCGCACGGGAGCGGGCGGCGTCGGCGCGAGGACAAAGGGCAGCGGGGCGCGAGGTAGGAGCGGCCTGCGGACCCGCTGGCGGGGCGGGGGGCGCGGGGCTGCTATGGGAGGGCTGGCGGGCGGCCGGCTCCAGAGCGGGGCGGGTGGGACCTCGCTCCTGCCCAGCCCGCGGGGCAGAGGAGCCGGAGCGCGGGGCGCGCGGGACGCGCGGGACGTGGGTACTTTCTGGGCCGGACCAGCAGGGGAGGCGCGGAAGTTTCAGGGTTCAGCCCTGAGGACACCTGGGGACCTGGGTGCTGCCGCCTCTTGTGTTTGTGTGTGTGTGGGGGGGCGGCGGGGAGAGGATGGGAGGGACACAGACGGAGACCGACAGCCTCGCTTGGCACAGGGGGAGCCGCGCTGGGAAGGTGAAAGCTAATGAAAACAACCGTGACGGTGATAATTACTATTTTGAGGGCGCATGTGTGTCCACGTCTGCGCGCACAGAAAAGTTGGAGCCCGAGGTGGCAGCTACATCTGGCACTTGGGACCCGGGAGAAAACGGGGCTTCTTCCAAGAACGACCAGGGGGCCGTCTCCGAGGGGTTCCCTGGTTCGGACAGGCTGCCATGGGGAGGTGGGGGCGTAGTCACTGGATCCCAGTTTTGGGTCTTGGGAACAAAGGCTGCTTTCCAGAAGTCCGAGAAAGGGGGGGCGGGGAGAGAGTGTGTGCGCGTGTGTGGCCGCCGGCGCCAGGGTGACCCGCCACTCCCGGAGAGGGTTGCCGGGCCACTTTGCTGTCACTCCTCCTTTGATCCCTGGTCAATGAGGACCAGCAGAAAAGAGGAACTACTTAATTTGTATGCTGACACCTTTAAGAAACTTTTATTATAAAGGTCAGTTACTTTGGAGCTTGAAAGGTTTTTTTTTTAAGCGTCTCTCTGTAAAACAAGAAATGTGTAAACTTAACCTGAGCAAAACCTTCTACCCGCAGTGGGCGGCGCGCTCCAATATCCGCGTTTCACACCGAGTGTCAGTCGTGGGGGGTGGGGTGGGTGGAGGTCTGGGCGGGTTCTGAGCGACCCCCTGTGTGAGTGTTGGGATAACATTTGGTTTGCAGCATCTTCAAGTATGGGGACGTTTCAAAGGCCACTGAGAATCCCACCTCTATCTTTTTAAACTATATTTTAAAACATTTTCATTCTGGAACGTAAAGCTCTTTTGAAGTATAGTTGGCTCTAACCGTCTTCTTAGAGTGGCTTAAATCTCGGGTCAGGTTTGAAGAGTTCTTGATAACCCATCCAGAGCCCCGTGTTTTGGGCTTTGCCAGAAAGGTTTGTTTTTAGGAAACAAAAACCAAATTTGAAATGTGAAACAACCACACGAAACACCGGTGAAGAGAGGCATCTACAAGTCTGTTCATGCCGCAGCCTGGTTCATCCAGAGTTTGGGACCGGAGACTGGTGTTTCCCTCCTGCAGCGCAGTGCCTTCTGCTGACCGACCCTCCCCGAGCTCGTGTTCTCTGTGGATTAAGGAGTGAGCTCGGGTTGGAGCCGAAATGCCACCCCAGTCTTTCTTGTTATTGCAGGTGGCTTAGATGATTTACTTGTAGCTTAAAATGGTTTCAGTCCGTGAAAATAGCCAGTCAGACCAATTTCTGTAATTTTTTTTTACTGGGTGGTTCGTTTGCAGCTACACTTTCAATATGGGAACTTTTGGCTTGTCTTTTTTAGGGGAGTTTATCATCTCCTAGGGCCTGTCTAAAGAATGCTGTGCTCCACGTGAAGCTGATCACACTTTCCTTTAGGAAGGAGCCGACTGCACTATGGCACTGGAGGGCTTCACTCTAGTATTACCACCTTCCCTGATGTCAGAAACTCCCCTTTAAAGAAAACCATGTCCACTTGGTGGATTCAGCATTTGAAATGCTTAGAGATTCCAGAGCGTTTAGAGGCAAGCCTCAAAGTGGAGCTCATAAAAGGTTAAAAACTCAGAATGAAAAGAAGATAGACTGTATTGATCTAAAAGAGATGGAGCAGACCCCTGTCCCCTGACCCATGCCCAGGTGTGGTCATCAGGATGGGGCGGGGCAGGACATTTAAACAGAGGCTGTGATGGGGACCCTTTCTGCACGGAGTGGGTACAGGGGGCTTGCTTTTTAAATAATCGTACCTATTTCTCTGTCTAGCATGCTTCGGTGGTTCCGCTCCAGACCTGGAGAGAAAGCTCCTACGGCATTTTGGGGGCAACTGACCACGAGGGCGGCTGAGAGCAGCTCATGGAGCCCTGGTCTGGCCCTCGCAGAGGGTCCCTGGTCCCTTCAAAAGATTGCAGGCAGTTAATCTTCTTGGCTCATACACTGCTTAGTGGGCGCTTCCGACTTTTTAGTTCAGTTTCTGGAAATGCAGATAAATTATAGTACTTTGAAGCTAATTGACATTTAAAACAAAAAAGAGATTAGGAAAGGCTATTGTAGAAGTAATACATGTCTGTGGCATAAAGCTTAAGAACATGCAGAAGAGTTGAAAAAAGAAACAAGAATAGCAGAAATCTGTAGTCCAGATGTAATTACTATCAACACTTTGGAGTACTTCTTCCTGGTATTAAAACTAAATTCTACATGCTTCTAAACATTGGTCAAAATTATGTATTATGTGAAGTATATTGTGTCACTTTGTATCTTCTTCATACAAAAGTTAGATTATGAATCTTATCTATCATTTTTTTAAAGATTTTATTTATTTATCTTTAGAGGGGAAGGGAAGGAGAGAGGGAGAGAAACATCAATGTGTGGTTGCCTCTCATACGTCCCCTGCTGGGAACTGGCCTGCAACCAGGCCTGTGCCCTGACTGGGAGTCAAACCACGGTTGTTTGGTTTGCAGGCCCGCGCTCAATGCACTGAGCTACACCAGCCAGGGCCCAAACAGAACATTGTATAATGAGCTTCTTTGTGGTCATCACACAGGCTCCACCCTCGTCAACGTTCTGTCTGTCCACACTGCAGCCCACTGGGGCTTCCCTGAAGTAAAGCCAAGGCATTATAGCATTTCGTACCCCCGTGTTTTGGACCGTGGCTTTCCCTGGGAAGCCCAGGAGGAGGCATGGCTTGGGGGGCTCAGCAGGAGGTGGGTTGGCCTGGAAGCTTACCTGACAGAATGCCTGACTGGTTCTGTCTGGGCCTCGAGAGGCTGGGTTCTGCTCTCCGGGCTCAGGTCGTCATCTGTCCGTTACCTGACAGGTTGGTCTAGGTAGGCTGTAGGCTCCCTTCTCACCTTGGTTCAAGCATTTACCTGTCATCCGGGCTGTAAGTCTTAACCAGTGTCAAACTTCCTCCCCTCTTGTGGAAGGACACGGACTGTGGGGTGCCTGTGGGTTATTTTTGGATGAGGAACCCGGACAAATAGGCCGTGTTCTTGACCCAGAGAGATTTCACCATTTGTCACAGCATGGACGGACCTAGAGAGTGTGAGGCGGAATGAAGTGAGCCCCACAGAGAAAGATGCCGTAGGATTTCACTTAGTGTGGAATCTGAAGAGCAAAACAAGCAAGCGGATAAAACAGAAACAGAGCCATAGACACGGAGAACAGACTGATGGTTGCAGAGGGCAGTGGGGTTCAGGGGCTAAAAACAAGGTCTGGGAGAGAAAGGATGAGATAAAATATTTCCGAATTGGGATCCGTGTAGGGAATTTTCATTTAAAAAATAAGGTTGCAAACTACTTCACATGACACACACCTTTGTGGTTACATGGTTGTTTGTTTGATGTTCTATCTGCCCCCTGTGCATGACCATCCTTACCCTAATCACCTCCTCCTTGACTCTGTGTCCAAATACAGCCACACTGGGCTTTAGGGGCTTCAACATTTGAATTTGGGGGACTCAGGTCCTCAGCCCCAGCACGCTGCAGAGATTCCCCCTGAGGTGGGCACACTCAGTTTTGAAACTTGCTGGTGGGGGGGGCTGGTTGGCAAGAGCATATGGGGGCTCCCAGCTTTCTGGTGGGGAACGTTGAGGAGGGGGGCTCTCCTCCCAGAGAGGAGACGGCGGCACATGTGTTGTCAGTGATCTTTCTGTGCCTGGCGTGGAGGCCGAGGCACACACACCCCCGTCCCCACCCAGGACAGTGCCCGGCGAGGTATTTTGTACGGGGGTTTGCTGGTTGGTAGTGGACAGTTTTGGACCAATAACCAACCACACATTGAAACCACCTTATGACGTGTAGATACTATCATTTCCATTTTATATGTCAGAAAACTGAAGTCCAGGGAAGTTCAAGGTCTTCTTGCTCGTCCTGGCTGGTGTGGCTCAGTGGATTGAGTGCCAGTCTGTGAACTAAAAGGTCCTCTTGCTCAAGGTCATCAACATTTGAATGCACTTCTGTCTGGTCACAAAGCTGTACAACTGTGAAGCCAAATCTTAGCATCAAAAAAGTTTGTGCCCATTGTTTTAACTTTCCCAAACTTTCCTTTGTTTCGAGTTAATGTCTATGTGGACTTCTCATTTGTCTACCATTCGGTCTCCCCCTCTTTTGACATTGAGAGCCATATCTCAGGGTAAGTGTTCTGCCTTTTCCTGTTCTGTGATCTTCCCCTGTTCGTTTCTTTCTGAGAGCCTCATTGCCTCTGAGGATGTTGTCAGGGCTCATTCTAAAAATCTTTGGGCCCTGATTTACTAAGACACACTTGTTGGGTTTGCCCAGAGAGTGAGGTGTTCGGAGTTGTGTAGTTCTGAGACCGCTGCCTCTGCCAGGCTGTGTCCAGGACGCCAGCTTGATTTTTACCTCCTTCTCATCACGGTCTTCTCCCTGGTTATTCTGGGTGGCCTACGGCATTCGTTAGAAAAGAGCAGAGGAGAGAGGGCCTCGGCTGAGCAGAAAGCCAGAACTGCCATAAATTCACATCTTTGAAATTAAAATTATTCTTCTCAACAGGTTTGTCCGAGAGCACATTCGGTCAGCTCGTCTGACCAGCACCCCCATACTGAATGCTCACTGCGTGCCGGGTGTGGCGGCGTGTGTGGTGAGGGACACCCGAGGGGTGAGCCGAGGCGGACCCTGTGCCCAAGGGCCCGTC